TAAAATCTTAGAGAAAAAATTTTTTAAACTTAGTAAATCTTCCAAAATACAATGAGGAAAAGTAACAATAGTTTTATTAAAGATTTAGAAAAAGAGGACAAACAACGTGAGTGAGTGGTTTTATCAGCAGCACATTAAAAAATTAAACCAGAAGTATTACTTAGCCTTAAAAATGGAGGAAATTCTGACATAATGCTACGTGCGTGAACCTTGAGGACATTATGCTAAGTGAAATAAGGCAGCCTCAGAAAGACAAGTGCTGTATGATTCTATGAGATCTTGGAGTAGTCAAAATTATAGAGACAAATGGTGGCTTCCAGAGGCCAAGGGAAAGGAGCAGTGGGGAGTCATGTTTAATGGATACAGAATTTGTTTTACACAATGGAAGGAGTTTTGGAAATGGGTGGTGATGGTTACGCAGTATGAATGTATTCAGTACCATTGAACTGTATACTTAAAAATGGTTAACTTGGTAAATTTTGTGTTCCATGTGTTTTGCCACAGTAAAAAATTAAAACACTAGCCCTGTCTGATAGGGTTTCTGTTATGCTAAATATGAGTGCTCATAATATGCCAACAGAATTGGGAAAAAAGTAAACAAAATTCAGCCTAAAAAGATTTTTAAAATAGTATAGGAAGATATGCCAGGCATATCTCCTTTAACAAGGAGAAAGTAAAAGTGTATCAATCCTATTAATATACAAACTAGAACTCAAGATATGAAAATCACTAAAAGAAACAGAGAAGGGTGTTTCACGTTAGTAAATCGGCCAAATACACCAAAAAGATAAACGTCATTGATTTGAAATGTATGATAAAGGCAGAACAGAGCTGGACAATGACATTTGGGAAGCCATATCACCATGGGAGATAGATAATCAACTTAAGCCAAATAACAACAAACTAGCCATCTGCTTGTGGGATGCTCTTGGCCACAGGTATTTTGTCTGTCACACAGTGATTTTTTAAAAAGTGATGAAGTAATCAGTTGTTGCTACATAACAGATTACCCCAACACTTAGGGAAAAGAGAGACTCAAAGGTAGGGGTGACTCAGTGGCCGGGACTACAGTCAACTGAATGCTGTGTACTCATGTCAGGTGCCTGGACTTGGTTCAACCTGAAAACCAGAACTAAAGGACCCACATAGGCTTCTCCATGCAGCCTGGCTTCCTCACATGTCTCAGCCTTAGCGTAATTGGACATCTTACATGGTGGCTCAGGGTTCTAAGCACATGTGTTCTGGGAAACAAGGCAGAAACCTCGTTGCCTTTTATGACCTAGCCTCAAAAGTCACATTGCATCATTTCTTTCATGCTCTATTGGTTGAAATGGTCATTCATAAACCCTTCTAGATTTAACGGAAAAGGGCATAAACCCTACTTAATGAGAGAAGTGTCAAATAATGTAAAGTGTAATACTTAAAGATTTTATATCTTAAAATCTCTTCAGTCCAAAGATTGATTTACATTCCTCCCATATGCAAAAATGCGTCCACCCTTTCCACAGATGCCCCTAACTTAGAGAGCCAGGATCTAAATCAGGTCCAGGTGCAGCTGAGAGTCCTCAGGTGTGGTTTCTCAGCTACATCTCTCTGAGTACTTTGAGAGCCTCCTGGGAGAGACTGGGGATGAGGAGCAGTTTCGCTTTTACGCCGCGTAAGTTTTGGCTTTTTTATATTCCTTCTAAATTTTGCTTGAAAATGGGCCAGTTCTTTTTATTATTTTTTTAGTTCATCTCTCTTTGTCCATTCTTATTGTGGGTAAAATAAACCACCAGTACTTTGAGCATCCTGCTTGGAGGTCTGCTAGGCCAGGCCTACCAATGCGGTTGTTTTCACATTTCCCTTAACACTGCAGGCACAGTGTTGCTAAACATTTGGCCATTTCATCCTATCAGGCTTCATCAACAGTCTTCTCCAGGCTCTTGCAGCTCCGCTGGCCACCCAAAGCTGGTCCACCTGTGCTAATTTTGTTACGGAGCACCTTGTTTCCCGTGCCATGGGTAGGCACTTTGATCTGGTGTTTGAGTCTTCGCAGATTGCTGCTTCACACAGCTAAGTTTTGTGGTGATGCATTAGCAGAGCAATGGTAACTAATACAAAACAGAGAACACTTCCATCATCCTAGAAAATTTGCTTCATGCTCCACTTTGATCAAAACCCACCCTTCAGCCTGGTGCAGTGGCTCACACCTGTAATCCCAGCACTTTGGGAGGCAGAGGTGGGTGGATCACCTGAGGTCAGGAGTCCGAGACCAGCCTGGCCAACATGATGAAACCCTGTCTTTATTAAAAATACAAAAATTAGCCGGGTGTGGTGATGGGCGCCTGTAATTCCAGCTACTCAGGAGGTTGAGGCAGGAGAATCACTTGAACCACAAAGGCAGAGCCTTCAAGGAACCAAGATTAGGCCAGTGCACTCCACCTGGGTGACAGAGCAAGACCCTGTCTTAAAAAAAAAAAGACAAAAACCATTAGGGAAAAATAACTTACTATTAATTTCCTTTAGAATTGAATTTTAAAGGGCTTGTAGATAAATTAATCTAGAAGGCTTATTCTATAAAATGCATGTTTCTTGGAGGCAAGATAATTTAACATGTTTTTATGCATCTAAATCTGTTTCTCTAAATGTGTTCTCATCCAGGTTTTATCACAACCTTCGTATAGTTTTCAGCAAATTACCAATCATTGATTTCTTAATTTTCCTACTAGGAAGCCACTGTTAATTGTTTTTAAAATTTTCTATAATCTTTGATAGTCTTTGGTTTAAATGTAGAGAAGTAGTTACCATTTTTGTGACCTTGCTCAAGTGATGTAACTTTTCTGTACCATACTTATTTTTATTATTTCTTTATTTTTGATATGGAGTCTTGCTCTATCGCCCAGGCTGGAGTGCACTAGCATAATCTTGGCTCAGTGCAACCTCCGCCTCCCAGGCTCAAGCAATTCTCCTGCATCAGCCACCCAAGTAGCTGGAATTACATGTGTGTGCCACCACGCCCAGCTAATTTTTGTATTTTTAGTAGAGATGGGGTTTTACCATGTTGGCCAGGCTGGCCTTGAACTGCTGACCTAAGGCGATCCTCCCGCTTCAGTCTTCCAAAGTGCTGGGATTACAGGTGTGAGCCATCTCTGTCTGGCCCACACTTACTTTTAAATGGGAGATTAAAAATGCCACAGCAGCCGGGCGCGGTGGCTCACGCCTGTAATCCCAGCATTTTGGGAGGCCGAGGCGGGTGGATCACGAGGGCAAGAGATCAAGACCATCCTGGTCAACATGGTGAAACCCCGTCTCTACTAAAAATACAAAACATTAGCTGGGCATGGTGGCGCGTGCCTGTAATCCCAGCTACTCAGGAGGCTGGGGCAGGAGAATTGCCTGAACCCAGGAGGCGGAGGTTGCGGTGAGCCGAGATCGCGCCATTGCACTCCAGCCTGGGTAACAAGAGTGAAACTCCGTCTCAAAAAAAAAAAAAAAGCCACAGCATAAAATGCTAAACATGTTTAAAAAATTAACATAAGGACAGTCAAATAAAAACAAATAATGGCTAATTTTAAAATATTGTTTAAAAACCAAATCAAATATTCCTGTCTGTTAATCTGATATAGTGTATTTCTTTTTTTTTTGGAGACAGAGTCTCACTCGGTCACCCAGGCTGGAGTGGAGTGCAGTATGGCGATCTTGGCTCACTGCAACCTGCGCCTCCTGGGCTCAAACAATTCTCCTGCCTTACCCTCCCAAGTAGCTGGGACTACTGGCACACGCCACTATGCCCGGCTAATTTTTTTGTACTTTAGTAGAGACGGGGTTTCACCATGTTGCCCAGGCTGGTCTCAAACTCCTGAGCTCAGGCATCCACCCCCTTCAGCTTCCCAAAGTGCTGGGATTGCAGGCCACCCTGCAAACCACCGCGCCCAGCCTCAGGGCATTCCTTTTTAGTACATACCTAACCTGAAACATTCAGCAAGTTTAATACTTTTGGATGTTTTTTACAAATGTTTGGTAATAATTACGCTTACTGATAGTTGTGATACGGAAATTTAAGAAGTAAGCATATTGATACAAATTTAATTTTATAGTATGTAAAATATTGTTACTAGTTAAAAACACCTTTATGTTTAATCAGCAATAAAATGTTTGACTTTTACAGTAGAAGTATTTGTTTTAATGACAATATTAAGATTTACAAATGCAGCATATTTTCTGGTTGATAGTTTTGGAATATTCTGAGCTAGTTTTTGCATTGTTTCCCTCAGTCATTGCTGAGGACTTTTTTTTTGAACTATGCCTTCCAAATACGAAAAACTGTACCTAAATTAAGTATTGTATTAAGTGGCCTCCACCCAGAGGTTTCTAACCTTTCCAGCTATTAAACTGCTGTAGGGAAGGATAAAATTGGTATAACAAAGGCATTGTCTGTAAATCATATCTGCCTGAAAACCAGGACTATATACATTTTTTAAGATAACTTTGTTTCATGTGTAGCTTTTATGCCTAAGGAACCTAGTGAGCATAAAATACTAAGCTACATCTAATTTTTTCTCTACACAGTTGTAAAATCTAGATGTCATTAGTATTATTTCATACACACTTTTTCATGAACTAATACATATTTTTAAGGGTTAAAGCATGTATCACAGGGCTGGGCACGGTGGCTCACGCCTGTAATCCCAGCACTTCAGGAAGTCAAGGTAGGTGGATCACCTGAAGTCAGGAGTTTGAGACCAGCATGGCCAACATGATGAAACCCCATCTCTACTAAAAACACAAGAATTAGCTGGGCATGGTGGCAGACGCCTGTAATTCCAGCTTCTCGGGAGGCTGAGGCAGGAGAATTGCTTGCACCCGGGAGGTGGAGGTTGCAGTGAGCCAGGATTGCACCATTGCACTCCAGCCTGGGCGACGAGAGCGAAACTCCATCTCAAAAACAAAAACAAAAAAGCATGTACCACATACCTATTTTGTTTGACCATTTTTCCTTTTTTTGTTCTTTTCTGTAGCTTTTCTGCAGTTAGATAAAAAAGGACCACAAAAACATCACTTTGATCAGCCTCCAGTGGCACCTGGGAAAAACTACTCTTTCACAAGAGAAGAGGTAAGACAGATCGATCGGGAAAATCAGAGGCTTTTGAAAGAACTGTCAAGACAGGCAGAAAAACCAGGAAGCAAAAGTACAATTCCTAGATCGGCTGATCATCCCCCAAAGTTATATCACAGCGCTCTCAACAGACAGAAGGAACAACAAAGGATCGAGAGAGAAAACTTGGTAAGTAACTGACATAGTCATCAAAGAAAATGTGTTTACACTGACTTGTACGTCAAGCTCACAGGAAATCTAAATATAGCCAAATTTTCAAACTTCATTACATAAAAGCAGGCACAGATATATATGGTATGAAACATATGATGTGCTGTAAGTCTGGGAGATAGCAATATGTATTCTTTTTATCCAGGAAACTATGTATTAAGAGACCATTGGCCAGTTGCAGTGGGTCATGCCTATAATTCTAGCACTCTGGGAGGCCAAGGTGGGCAGATTGCTTGAGGCAAGGAATTTGAGACCAGACAGTGCAACCTGGCAAAACCCCAGCTCTACCAAAATTACAAAAATTAGCTGGGCGTGGTGGCACGTGCCTGTGGGGTCCCAGCTATTCCGGAGGCTGAGGTGGGAGGAACATCCAAACCCAGGAAGCAGAGGTTACAGTGAGCCAAGATTTCACCGCTGGACTCCAGCCTGGGCAACAGAGCCAGACAGACTCCATTTCAAAAAAAAAAAAAAAAAACAAAAACCATTAAAGGAAAATATTGAAAGCTTCATTATTTATTTGACTAGATCAATTAAATCACTACAGTAGAACAGGAAATGGTATCCAAGGGTCAGATACAGTGTATCTTCTGTGAAGTAACTAGTCACTAGCGAATCTCTACTTTATTATGTCCTGGAAAGCTAAAATAAATTGAATATAATTTATTTTAAAGGATCAGTACATCTCGAATAGGCCAAATTATTAGTCTACTACTTAAATATATGAAACATTGATTATTACAAATCATATAGTTTTATATTCTAAGAAAATAAATATGGGAACTGTTGAAAATCTTCACGTATAAAATATTATCACAGGATTTTTTTTCATAACATTTTTTTTCATAACATATGAACAATTATTAGTTCATAATAATTGCTGATATTTACTGAGCTCTTACTAAACACTAGACATTGTTCTGAGTACCTTCCAAATATTAACTTACTGAATTCTGACAACAATTCTTGGAAGTAGATAACTATTTTTATCCACATCTTACAGATGAAAAAACTGAGGCTTAATTTAGCACAGAGCTACTAAATATGCAGCTGGGCTGAGATTTTAAACCTGGGTAGTCTTTCAAACTAGAATTAGACCCTTAATGAACATGTAAACACAGAGCTAAAATAATATAGAAAGCTATTAAAATTTTTAAGACCCTTTTGAAAATTAACCCTCTTTACGTTACCAGTGTAGTCCTATGTAACCATATACTTACCTAAACTTGTAACAACTGTTTTGCACATTTCTTTGTTATCATACTAACCCCAAGAACTGGGAAGCTAGGGATTACTGTTTACAAAAACAGCAGTCTTGAACCCTTCAGGAGGATGACCCTGCATGTGGCAAGGAACAGAAAACGAAGCTAGGTGAAATGAGGTTGGTAGGACCTGAGCTACATGATAGCTTTCCACACATCACTTCAGCAGTATTCAAGGTTCATTCATGTTTCATGAACATTTGAGATTCCTGTATGTCACAAACATTTGGGATTACTTCCTTTGTTTGCACCCTTGCACTGGGCTCTGGGCCTATCTCATTTAATAAGCAATTACATCATGCGTACTATTTTACAAATGTTAGGTATTATATCCTGAGAGCAGTCTGACAGTTACCATAGTTATAGAAGAGTAAAAGAGACACTGAGCGGGCAGTTGTGGAGAAGAAAAAAGCTGCTTTAGGAAGTGCACCAGGTGTTAATTTTGATCCAGTGGAGGTGGTACTCAGCAGCCTTACTCATGAGGCTCAGAAAACACAAAGACATTAGAATGCCTAGGTTCATTGGGGGTGTCTGGGGTAGACAGGTGGAGAGGGAGGGGATAAGAGAGGTGCATGTTGGTATTTAAAGTAGTGGATTCAAAGAACTTAGATTATAAATAAGAGTTCCATTACGTGTTGCCTAGATAAGGGCTTTTTCTCCCTGCAGACACCCCTAAGAATGGTTCTGTGTATGTGAATGAGTGGGTGGTCATTGTGACTAAATATTTTTGTTTTACCAAGAAACTGAGATAATTTTACCCAGGAATAAATACTTCCTGAACACCTTTGGTCTTTTCAACAAGAAAAAGAGGATTGTCCTTAAGTCCCTGCTAAAAACATTCCAGTGTTAAAATTTGCACTTTGAAGGTAAGCTTTCTAGGCCTGACCTTCCAGGTGTCAATGGACTTGTGCTACTATATATTTTCTTTGTTCTTGGTATCAGTTTAAAATTCAGATAAGGCCCACAGAATAAGACTTTCCATGCATTTGCAAATGTCAGCATTATACCTACATTCTTTTTCCATCCACTTGCACCATATCATTACCATCACTTTTTCATCATTCCTCAGCTACTACTCACATTCATGTAATGGCTTCTGTGAACGTCCGTAAGACAGTTGTGATGTAATGTAACATTTTTTTCTTTTTTGAGCTAGAGTCAGGGAATCAAGCCATGCTTAATGTTTAGCAATCACTTATATGTGTATGCATGTGGAAGAGTGTGTTTCGTTGTCATGTGTTGGTACCAGCAGATACAGTATAAACTCACAAACACGGATTTGAAAATAATGCACATACAGTGTTCAAATTTGAACTTACGGATACTGGTTTTGTTAATTATGATTCTTTTTATTTTTTTTTCAGGATATAGGAACAATGCTATTACTGAAATGAATGATTTTCTGAAATGTAATCATTGATGCTTGAATGATAGAATTTTAGTACTGTAAACAGGCTTTAGTCATTAATGTGAGAGACTTAGAAAAAATGCTAAGAGTAGACTATTAAGTGTGCCTAAATGAATTTTGCAGTAACTGGTATTCTGGGGTTTGCCCGTCTTAATACACAGTAATTCAGAACTTGTATTCTATTATGAGTTTGACAGTCTTCGCATGACCAACAAATTTGATATTTGCACTAAGATTTTACTGGGAATGCAAGAGAGGTTTAAAGAGGATTCAGTAGCACGCATATAACTAATTTATTTGAACTGTATGCTGAAGACGTCTACTAGTTTCTCCAAATGCCTTTTTAAAAACTCATCACAGATGATTCGTGAAAATGCTGAGTATGACACTTTTCATCTTGCATGTCAGCTACATAAACAGTTTTGTACAATGAAAAATACTAATTTGTTTGACATTCCATGTTAAACTACGGTCATGTTCATCTTCATTGCATGTAATGTAGACCTAGACCATCATCAAATCATGTGTTCTGGAGAGTGTTCTTTATTCAATAAAGTTTTAATTTAGTATTAAAAAAAAAAGAGAGACACTGAGTGGGGCACAGGGACTTAAGGTTACACAGCCAGCATGTGTGAGAGCCCAGGTGAAAATCCAAATTACCTAGCTTTGGGGTTACTTTTTTTTTAACCAGCTTTATTGAGATATAATTCACATATTGTTACCCATTTAAAGAGTACACATTCAATAGTTTTTGGTACATTATTAAGTTGTGCTCATGTATATATAATGTAAAATTTGCCGTTTTAACCTGGAAACCATCATCCTCAGCAAACTGACAGAAGAGCAGAAGATCAAACACCGCATGTTCTCATTCATAGGCGGGCGTTGAACAATGAGAACACATGGACACAGGGAGGGGAGCACTACACACTGGGGTCAGTTGGGAGGAAATAGGGGAGGGACGGTGGGGGGTGGGGAGCTGGGGAGAGATAGCAGGGGGAGAGATGCCAGATGTAGGTGATGGGGAGGAAGGCAGCAAATCACACTGCCATGTGTGTACCTATGCAACAATCTTGCATGTTCTTCACATGTACCCCAAAACCTAAAATGCAATAAAATAAATAAATGGGAAAAAAATTTGCCATTTTAACTATTTTTAAGTGTATAATTCAGTGACATTAAGCATATTCACAGTGTTATGCAACCATCACTACTATCTATTTCTAAAACTTTTTCATCAGTTCATAGAGATGCTGTGCTTATTAAACAGCTCTCCTTTCCCCACCCCCTTGTCCCCTGCGGGTGTCTAGTCTACTTTCTGTCTCTGTGCATTTGGCTATTCTAAATATTTCATAGGAGTAGAATGGTACAATATTTGTCATTTTGTATCTGGTCTATTTCACTTAAAATGTTTTTATGTTTCATCTATGTTGTGACATGTATCAGAACTTCATTCCTTTTTATAGCTGAATATTATTCCATTGTAGGTGTAGACCTAAGCTATAGTGAATAATACTGAAGTGAATATTGGCAAGTACCTGTTCATGTCTCTGCTTTTAGTTCCTCAGGGTGTACACGTAAGAGTAGAATTCCTGGATCATACGGTAATTTTATGTTTACCTTTTTAAGGAAGCTGGGTTCCCTAAAAAGGAACCAGGCACCCGCTACCATGCTGGGATAATTGTTGTATTTTTAGTAGAGACAGGGTTTTACCATATTGGTCAGGCTGGTCTCAGACTCCTGATCTCAGATGGTCCACCCGCCTCGGCCTCCCAAAGTGCTGGGATTACAGGCGTGAGCCACTGCGCCCGGCTGAAAAGTTGAAACTCTTAATGTCTAGTGGTTGTTCTGTATACACAAATAGGACAAAAACTGTTAACTTCTTACAGCTTTGATTATTCTCCAAAATAGTTAATTTTATGAAAAAATATTTCAGCTATTTTCTTGTTTTTGTCTTTTGAGATACAATCTTGCTTTGTCGCCCAGTCTGGAGTGCAGTGGCATGAACACAGCTCACTGTAGCCTCTACCTCCTGAGCAATCCTCCCGCTTCTCCCTCAGCCTCCCACGTAGCTGTGACCACAGGCACACATCACCATGCCTGGCTAATTTTTTTTTTTTTTTTTTTTTTTTGCAGAGTTGGTGGGGGAGGTCTCACTTTGTTGCCTAGGCTGGTTTTGAACTTTGGGCTCAAGCAATCTTCCCACCTTGGCCTCCCAAAGTGCTGGGATTATAGGTGTGAGCCACTGCGCCCAATGCTAGCTGTTTGATTCAGCAGTGGAAAATCACTAGTATTCTTTTTACTTTGTGTACATAGTAATTTGTGAACAATATTGTTCTCTATTTCTTAGTAAGATCTTATTTGATATACTCTAGAACAGTAGAAACGTGAGCCATATGCATAATTTTAAATTTTCTACTAGTCACATTAAAAATGTCAAAACAGATAAAAATTTTAAAATAATATGTTTTTAACTGAATGTATCCAAAATGTTGTCCTGCGACTGAATTCATGAGTCTCATTTTTTATGTGAAACTTAGTGCAGGTCAGCACTCGTTTTGCAAATAAAGATCAGCTTCCTTCAGAGACAGTTTGAATCAGTAAAGAAAATAATAAAACACAATCGTGGATCAATTCCCCAAGCTATTTAGTCTACTTTGGTATTTTTTTGTCAACAATGCCTATGAAAAGCAAACAGAATAAACCCTTTCACCTTTTAAGAAATAATTATGGCCGGGCGCGGTGGCTCACGCCTGTAATCCCAGCACTTTGGGAGGCCGAGGCGGGTGAATCACGAGGTCAAGAGATCAATACTATCCTGGTCAACATGGTGAAACCCCGTCTCTACTAAAAAACTTCAAAAAATTAGCTGGGCATGGTGGCGCGTGCCTGTAATCCCAGCTACTCAGGAGGCTGAGGCAGAAGAATTGCCTGAACCCAGGAGGCGGAGGTTGCGGTGAGCCGAGATCGTGCCATTGCACTCCAGCCTGGGTAACAAGAGCGAAACTCCGTCTCAAAAAAAAAAAAAAAAAAAAAAAGAAAGAATTATAAACAAAATTTAGAGCATTATACATTAGTCTGTTACTGCATCATACAAAAAAAAATACCGTGTTATTGGATACTATGTTGCCTTGGCCAATTGGTTTATATATCCTTTTCTTATTTATTAAAATATTATAAAAATGGAGACAGGGTTTCACCATGTTGTCCAGGCTGGTCTCGAACTCCTGAGCTCAAGCAGGTGATCCACCCGCCTTGGCCTCCCAAAGTGCTGGGACTACAGGTGTGAGCCACCATACCCAGCCTACATATCCTTTTTAAAGCTTTATATTCTGTAGTAATTGGTTTTTGAACTTCTTAACAGCAAAAACTTTTTTCTTCACATTAAATGTTATGCAGAATCTTTAGTATATAAAACAGACAATATGGAAAGCATAATTGGACTGGTAGAAATTAGCAGTGGAAGAGCCAAGGGCCCTCCCTCCTGCCCTTTCCCCAGTGGCCTGCGAGCCCTTAAGGCACTACTGCAAAGGAAGCTGGGTGAAAGACATTGCTCTGCAGTGTACATGGGTAGAAATCTGTAGTAGCTCCCATATGTGAGTGGTCATTTCTAGGGGTTGACACTACATTCTCAGCTTTATCACTCCCATTATGTCAGGTCTATGAGAAAATCAGGTTTAATATATTTTATTTCAACTTGCAGCACCTTTCCTAAGACTAACCTGGCACAAAAGAATTCTGCCTCTAGCAAGCTTGTCTAACTCACCTTATTTTGTAGTTTGTTTTTGTTGTTCTGTTTAGGCTTTCAGCAGCCTAAAGCCATGGTTTTTAGTTTCTGTCTGTAGTGATACACAGAAAAGAGCATACTAAGAACTCATTTCAGAGAAACTAAAAACCCATGACTGTATTCTCTCCGTTGGACACCCCTGGATGAGTTGTTATATCATAGTGGTTTGGTTAGCTGTGGGATAGGCAAAAACCCTTGGATTTTTATGAAATTATATTATTTGAAATATGTTTTTCACATGGTATGTCAGGAATGATTTAAAATAGTTTGGCTGGATGTGGCAGGTCTCACCTGTAATCCCAGCTACTTGAGAGGCTGAGATGGGAGGATCCCTTAAGCCCAGGAGTTCAAGGCCAGCCTGGGTGACAGAGTAAGACCTTGTCTCTTAAAAAAAAGAAAAAAAAAGTGAATGTCAGGCTCTAGAATGTATTGCCTTGTTAAAAATGATTGCTGTTTAACCTTGACTTTCAAATTGATTGTCTTTATTGAAGGCTTTATTAAAGAGGCTTGAGGCTGTGAAACCAACAGTTGGTATGAAACGCTCAGAACAACTGATGGACTATCATCGCAATATGGGTTACCTCAACTCATCACCATTGTCAAGACGAGCCAGATCCACTCTTGGCCAATATAGCCCACTAAGTAAGCTTATGCAAAATTATTTTCTGCTTATTTGTATCTCGTATCCAAAAAAAACGTAACTTACGTGATTATGATACTTCTCGAATGCGTTCTATGATTTTTCACTGTCATGTTTTGTTTTATTTGTATTAATTCACTTACTTTCAGATTTCATTTACGTCATGTAATGACAGTGCAGGAAGGAAACCAGGAGATAAAACAATTGAAAATATCAGTAGGTTCTTAGGTAATTGAAGGGGGACTTTTAATTTCAAAATTTATTGAAGGAAGAAATGCATAGATGTGTTGTTTAAAAGCTGCTGAAGGCCGGGCGCGGTGGCTCACGCCTGTAATCCCAGCACTTTGGGAGGCTGAGGCGGGTGGATCACGAGGTCAAGAGATCGAGACCATCCTGGTCAACACGGTGAAACCCCGTCTCTACTAAAAATACAAAAAATTAGCTGGGCATGGTGGCGCGTGCCTGTAATCCCAGCTACTCAGGAGGCTGAGGCAGGAGAATTGCCTGAACCCGGGAGGCGGAGGTTGCGGTGAGCCGAGATCGCGCCATTGCACTCCAGCCTGGGTAACGAGAGCGAAACTCTGTCTCAAAAAAAAAAAAAAAAAAAAAAGGTCACTAAGCTGCTGAAACATTCTCCCAGGTAGTTAAGAATTATTGCTAATGGCCTCCAACCCTTAGATGTGCTTTTTCTTACTCCTTGGATAACTAAAACAAAAATTAGCGACCAGTTGTGTGCCCCAGAGAATACAGGAATGGAGTGACTATTTAGTGCTGGAGTGTGCAGCATCTAGAAGGGCCAGTGTCCGGTACAGAAGTCTATGCTGTCACTTCATGTTTGCATTCTAAGCTATGTAAAAACTGGAAGGTAATACTAAACCACTCAGTGCCACAGCTTTCCAGGGCCCGCCCATAGGAGTCTTAAACTCTCAAATGACTAGGAATTCCATTTATTCCTTCTACAAACCGTGCTTCCACGGTCTAGTGACTAACACAGGGTCTTATTTGAGTAACTTATGCTTAGCGTCATCCCTGAATGCAGTAAGTTATTTGTTGATGAGATATATAAATGGTTCTACAAGGAGATTTTTTTTCCCCTTGAATTATTTGAGAAGCTTTTAGAAATGTTTGTTTTCTGTGCCAATCTAGTGAATCAAAATTCCCTAGTGTAGCATCTGGATGTGTTTGTTATTATATTTAAGTTCCACAGGAAATTCTGAAGTACATTTCTAGTCAAGAATCATTGTTGGCCGGGCGCGGTGGCTCAAGCCTGTAATCCCAGCACTTTGGGAGGCCAAGGCGGGTAGATCACGAGGTCAAGAGATCGAGACCATCCTGGTCAACATGGTGAAACCCCGTCTCTACTAAAAATACAAAAAATTAGCTGGGCATGGTGGTGCGTGCCTGTAATCCCAGCTACTCAGGAGGCTGGGTCAGGAGAATTGCCTGAACCCAGGAGTCGGAGGTTGCGGTGAGCCGAGATCGCGCCATGGCACTCCAGCCTGGGTAACATGAGTGAAGCTCTGTCTCAAAAGAAAAAAAAAAAAAAAAAAAGAATCATTGTTATTAGACTATTAGATACAGATAGAATGTGGAAGAAAAGCTAGTCTGGACCTAAAGTGAGAAGAAGTTTCACAGATATTTCCTGTGTGTATATTTTCAGGAGGAGCTTCCAGGACCTCCAGTGCTACCAGTGGTCTCAGTTGTAGGAGTGAGCGATCAGCTGTTGACACCTCCAGTGGCCACCCTCGAAGAAGACCTAAACCCCCCAATGTCCGTACAGCTTGGTTATAAAACCCTTTTTTTACTTTAAACATTGTTCACACCACTTTTATTGAAGTGCTTGTGCATATTACTGTAACTCTCTATGTAAACATGTATAACACCGTTTTAGCAATTTGAAGTGTACAACAGTGAGTTGTAATTTATTGTTATTCAGTGCAAAATTATTGTCAAAAAACTGATTTAATGTGAAAAGTGTTTCTTGAGGATATATTTATATGAAATGTATGTGCTCTTAATAGAGAAATAGTGGTATGCATGTGTATCTCCTAATTATATAAATTGATTAAGTTGTGTCATGCTGACAAAACAGAAGTGATAGCATCATTGCATGTTGTACCCAAGATGTTGACTATATAGTTTTCAATTTGTGTTATTTTCATTTCTTTGTAAGTGTTATACCATGAGCTTAGCTCCTAAATTTGGCTGGCTTTGTTTTTTATTTGCCTGAGAACTTACGTGGTATGACATAGCTTGATTTTATGAGATTTAATGCTTATGAAACAAATCTTGAAATTTGTTTTCATTGGTAGAGCTGATCTAGATTTGATGAGCGGATTGTGAGACGCTTCTATTGGACCAATTCTTGGGATTCACCAGAGGTGTCTAGTTATTGTATAAGTGCACTGATTTAGATCTTAAAAGTCTGATCAACTATTCCAAACCGTTTCAAATGTGAACATCAGAAAGTTCAACCTAGAAGCTCCTCTTTTGTGTTTTTATACATTCAGGTTAAATCCTATTAATGATTCTTAGAAATGAGGTAGGTTTTAGCGCTACAGTCTTCTAGCTCGTGAATCGTTTAAGGACCACATCAGTTGCATCATAAGGAAAACCAAGTATTTGTTGAATCAGTAAAATAGCACTATCAGCATCAGCAGCCAAGAAGCAGATCCTGAGGTGTGTCAGACGAACAGTGTTTTAGGTAATATTGCTAGCATGTGTGCTGTCATTTGGTATTTATTATGTTATTAGAGAAGACTTAGAAAGCTAGTATTTATAAGGCCTGAAAAAGAAAACTAAAATTTGAACAAAAAGGGAAATAAATCACACATTTGTTGAGGCTGCTGCTTTAAATATTAGCTAATTTTCTTGTTTTGGTTTAGTTTATTTGATTAAATCCTGAAAGTAATATTTTTACCAGTCCCACACTTAAAGACCTAGTTAATCTCGATGGAATTGGTAATGGCAGATAGGGTTTAATATAGTTGACTTTTCAAATTAGAATATCTTTCTGCCAAACTTTGGGCTTTTATGTAACGAAGTGTGATATCTCACTGTTACCATATTTTCCGCTAGTAGCCCTTTCAGTATACCTTAAACTATATTGGAAAGGTTCCATGTTAGATGACAAATCTCTTTTTTCAGTATGAATTTTTGATCTGCAGCCACGGTAAGATTTTTATTTTTCAGTGCTCAGGCTCTGTAACATGTATGCTGAATGCTTTTTACCTTAGTACCTTTAACAGTAAGGTGTGACTGCATTTTACAAAACATCAATTCAAAATGTCTTGGTTTTAGTTTGTATTCTTAGATTTTGTTTAGGATAGGGCATGTGAACATGGGAGCAGGGAGGTTAAAAAAAAAAAATTCATGACCCACAGCCTGGCTTTAAGCTTCTGCTTCTTTTGTGGGCTCTAATGTTCACTCAGTATTATTTGATGCCCTGTTCTGGTGAACAACTTATTATACCTGCTGTATATATAAGCTTTAGCTATATTTTCTTTTGTTTTTTAACTTACTGTACTTTTAATGTTTATGTAACAACTTATATTTCAGGAGAGAGAAGATTATGCTGAATTTTAAATTCAGCATTTAACATCTGTCCAATCAGTTTTTTAAAATTGATTTTTAAGTTGTTCCAGGAAAAAACACATATATGTTATATATATATATATATATATATAATTTCTTTATATATGTAAAAGATTACATATATAAAATCTCTTTATAAAAGATTATATATATAAAATCTATATGAGATTATATATAAAATCTCTATATAAAAGATTATACATAAAATCTCTATATATATAAAAGATTATACATAAAATCTCTTTATATATATAAAAGATTATACGTAAAATCTCTCTATATATAAAAGATTATATATATAAAATTACATATGTAAAAGATTATATATATTTGTATATAATATACTTATATATATAATTTCTGTTCATAATGTTATTAGTCTCTGATTACATTTGATATTATCTTTGCTGCCACATGTCAGGATACAACACATAATAATTTTATAAATAAAACTGTACTTTTATGTACTAATTTAATGCTTTGGTTTTTACTACTTTGAAAAGGGAAGTTCATCGAAGTATTACTCATAACAGAGATCTAACTTAAAGTAAAAGTTCAAAGGGCAACAGTCTTTTTTAAGCAGAATTTACAATTCCGTTGTCATGGTTACTTATATATAATGAATATAAATAGATAAATAGGAGTTGGAAAATGTGGTGTATTCTCTAAGTCAAGGAGCCATGAAGTTGTTATAGTTTAAGGGACATTTTTTTTTTTTTTCAGCTGCTCAGACTTGATTTTATTTTAGTCATCAGTGGTGATGATTTTTCTCTTTTTTTCTTTTTTTTTTTTTTAGACTCGTCAAGCGCAGTGGTGAGAAGGGGGGCAAGAGTAGAACAAGGAGTTCGATCTGTAACTGACCGTGAACACTCAGTTGAGATCCTTTCTCCCATGTTTGACTAATCCTTTTCGCTGTCATCTGATGTCAAAGGAAGGTTTTCTTTTGACTTCCAACTCTCTTCAGATCTTTCGGACTCTATGTCTTCATAAGTCATCCTCCTGTGAGGTTTCTTTACGTAAGTCCTGGTGTTTATTCACCTCCTGTTGGATTGTATCCGTCTCTCCATGGATGTCTAGGTCTTTGTCCTTCTCAGAAGCTCCTTCCAATATGGTTGGATTTTGAGTCTCCTGGATTGGATCCATGGAGTTCTCTCCATGGATGTCTAGGTCTTTGTCCTTCCCTGAAGCTCGTTCCAATATAGTTGGATTTTGATTGTTCTCTAGTTCTTGTCAAGTTGTTCATTCTTCTTTCGATTTGAATTTATTTTCTTATCCTTCCCGTAGTAAAACACTGATGTTGTTGGGTGTTCTGATTTTTTTTTTTTTTTTTTTTTTTTCTTTAAAGTTTGTTCTGACTCTGTTCGGTGTCTCCTGTGTTTTTCATCTGCAAACTTCTCAGCTGTGAAGTCCACCCGCCTCTCGGTCTCACAGGGTCAGTATTCCCTGTAGGGTCTCCGCTCGGCTCCTTGAAGCATCCCCTTGGGCCCACGGCTAGCACTCCATCCTTGCTGCTCCGCTCTTCTGCTTCTGGCCCGGCGCCTGCAGGCACCCCCAGGGCTGTCGGGCCCCTGCGCGCGGGGCCCGGGAGAGTCTTGCGGCCACCCGCGCCGGCTCCTCGCGCCCCTTGCGCTGCAGCTGCTGCTGGCGCCGGCGCTCGGCCTCGCGCAGGTTGTCGAACGGGTCCGACTCGTCGTCCAGCCGCTGATGGAAGCCGTTGGCCACCACGCCGCCGAAACTCTCCTGCATCACGGCGCCGGCGGCGGCCACGGGGCTCCCCGGAGCGCCCTTCACGCCGCCGCGACCGCAGCGGGCCGGGCGGGCAGCCCACGCGAGCGCGTGCAGCGAAGCCCAGCGAGGACCCATGCCGCCCGCGCCGCCGCCGCCCTAGGGACATTCTTAAGAAAGAATTCCTTCTTTAGTATATTACTCTTCTCATTTTCAAGAACATGAAAAAGTAAAGGATGGTCTAGCACTATCTTATAGATTTTTGACTTGTACTGAATATACTTTGAAGATTTACGTCTATAACTAGAAAGTATGCTAACCCAATGTCAACTTATTAGGCCAGAATCTGGTTCAGTTATTTTTATCTTTGTCAAAAAGTAATCTAATGTTGCCTCCTTTTTAGTAAAATTCTATGAAAGTTTTTTAACTATTAAAGTTATTTCTTAAGGGGTAGCTCTTGCACTTGCTCTGCTTCATTTTCAGCTATTACTCCAAATGAATTTTTTGATTTGCTTAAAAAATGTAGTGAGATGCAGTTGTTTTCAACCTGCTAACCATAGTGTCCAAATGGGTATCTAGGCAACTGCAAGAAGGTTGACTGTGATGGGTATGTGATGGGTGTGCATCTCATCTTCAGATTCTTCAAACATTGCATACTATGAAACATATTAAGACCAATTTAAATCCAAAGATGTGAGTTGGTTATACTTTAATAATTAAACTTGTAAAAAGTTCAATATCTTCAATGCCAAAAACTCTTAACCTATAAATGATCGTATACCATCTTAGAAAATGTGCTTAACAGTAATGGCTTATTCATTTCTATGAGTAAATATTGGTAAGAAGCTTAAAATTGACATCCTCTTAACATTTTCTAGTCCATTTTAATGTATTTTAGGCATTTAGAACTAGCCTGGCATAATGAAAAAAGAAATAAAAGAATTAAAGACAACTGAGTTTTGATCCTATGTTTATCTCCAAAATGCACTCTTGTTCGTGTTTTCAAAATTAGAATAACTTTTATGTGCCTTACAAGACTTAAGAATTAGTAGGAATAAAGTTGGAAGGATGGTGTCAGTTATTTCTGTCTTTGAAAGTATAATATTTACATTGAAAAGAGTTTGCTTAAAATTCTTAATCAGAATTTCTTTAAACTAATTGCTTTTGTTAAATTGTTATGGTACCACAATACAGTGGACACTCTTAGAGCTTAAAAAAAATGGGTTTTGTTGTTGTTTGTGTGTTTGTTTTGAGACGGAGTCTCACTCTTGTTGCCCAGGCTAGAGTGCAGTGGTGCGATCTTGGCTCACTGCAACCTCCGCCTCCCAGGTTCAAGTGATTCTCCTGCCTCAGCCTCCCCAGTAGCTGAGATTACAGGCACATGCCACCATGCCTGGCTAATTTTTTGTATTTTTAGTAGAGATGGGGCTTTGCCATGTTGGCTGGGCTGGTCTTGAACTCCTGACCTCAAGTGATCTGCCCACCTCAGCCTCCCAAAGTGTTGGGATTACAGGTGTGAGCCATCATGCCCAGCCAATAAATATTTTTTAAAAGTGGCCGGGCGCGGTGGCTCACGCCTGTAATCCCAGCACTTTGGGAGGCCGAGGCGGGTGGATCACGAGGTCAAGAGATCAAGACCATCCTGGTCAACATGGTGAAACCCCGTCTCTACTAAAAATACAAAAAATATTAGGTGGGCATGGTGGCGCGTGCCTGTAATCCCAGCTACTCAGGAGGCTGAGGCAGGAGAATTGCCTGAACCCAGGAGTTGGAGGTTGCGGTGAGCCGAGATCGCGCCATTGCACTCCAGCCTGGGTAACAAGAGCGAAACTCCGTCTCAAATAAATAAATAAATAAATAAAATAAAAAATAAAAGTAACCATGTAAATCAACATTCCAATATTCTATATGAGTAATAAACACTCTAAAACTGCAAACATCAGTTTAGGAATTTGTTTAATGAAGGTTTAATAAAACTAGTGCCATTGGAATAAATGCCCAAGTAGCTCCTGCAGTAGCATATCTCAGCTCTCAACAGCAAAGAGAAAGAATGCTATGTTATGGCAGAAAATTGTATTTAGTTTTTAAATTCTGGTGACAGATTTTTAATATATTTAGAGATATTTCTGGAGCCACCATAATAGACCTCTTAAGATTCTGTGCTTCCATTTCAAAATTTATTTGGCAGGTAAGTTGCACTATTTTCTCTAGATGACACTTTTGAGGTTTGACTGGTTCATCAGTTCTAGTAGCCTTTAGGGTTTTCTAGATACGGAATCATATTGTCAGTAAAGAGAGGTAGCTTGATTTACTTTCCTGTTTGGATGCCTTTTATTGCTCTATCCAGGACTTCTGATATTATGTTGAGTAGGAGTGGTGAGAGCAGGCAGCCTTGTTTTCTCCAGGGGAATGCCTCCAGCTTCTGCTCGTTGAGTATGATGTTGGCTGTGGGTTCGTCATTGAGGGCTCTTATTTTGATGTAAGTTCCATCGATGCCTAGTCTGTTGAGGGTTTTTTTAAATCATGAAGGGATGTTGGATTTTACCAAAAGCTTTCTCTGGGTCTATTGAGATGATCGTACGGTTTTTGCTTTTAATTCTGTTTATGTGGTGAATCACATTTATTGATTTACATGTGTTGAACCAGCCTTGCATCCTAGGAATAAAGCCTACTTAATCATGGTGAATTAATTTTTTGATGTGCTGCTGCGTTCAGTTTGCTAGTATTTTGTTGAGAATTTTTGCATCTGTGCATCAGGGATATTGGCCTGAAGATTTCTTTCTTTCTTGTATCTCTGCCAGATTTTGGTATCAGGCTGATGCTCCTTCATAGAATGACTCAGGGAGGTTCCCTTCCTCCTGAATTTTTTTGGAATAGTTTCAGTAGGATCAGTACTAGTTCTTTTTGGCATGTCTGGTAGAATTTGGCTGTGAATCCATCTTTTGCAGGGCTTCATTGGGTTTTTTATTTTTGGTAACTGATTCAATTTCAGAGCTCAATATTGGTCTATTTAAGGTTTCAGCCTCTTCCCGATTCAATCTTGGGAGACGGTGTGTTTCTAAGAATTTACCCATTTCCTCTAGATGTTAAAATTTGTGTGCATAGAGTTGTTCGTAGTATTCTCTGAGGATCTTTTGTATTTCCGTGGGTTGTAATGTCATTGTCTTTCTGATTATACTTATTTGGATCTATTTTCTTTGTTAATATAGCTAGCAGTCTATTAATCTTGTTTGTTTTTTCAAAGAACTCTTGGTGTATGGATTTTTTTTGTGGGGGGAGGACAGGGTCTCACTCTGTCCCCCCAGGCTGGAGTGCAGTGGCATGATCTTTTCTCACTGCAACTTCTGCCTCCCAGGCTCAAGCAATCATCCCTCCTCAGCCTCCAAAGTAGCTGGGACTACAGGTGCACACCACCACGCCAGGCTGATTTTTGTATTTTTAGTAGAGATGGGGTTTTGCCATGTTGGCCAGGCTGGTCTCAAACTTTTGGCCTCAAGTGATCTGCCGATGTCAGCCTCCCAAAGTGGTGGGATTACAGGTGGGAGCCACTGCACCTGGCTTTTGTATAGACTTTTGCATCTCAATATCATTCAGTGCTTCTCTCATTTTAGTTATTTATGTACTGTGGTCTGAGAATGTGCTTGGTATGGTTTCAGGGTTTTTTAACTTTTTGGAGACTTGCTTTATGACTAAGCATGTGGTTGATCTGTGTGTTCTGTGTGCAGATGAGAATGGATATTCTGTGGTTGGGTGGAGTGTTCCGTAGAGATGTCTATGAGGTCCAATTGGTCAGCTGTCGAGTTTAGATCAAGCTTCTTTGTTAGTTTTTCTGCCTCGATGATCTGTCTAATGCTGTCAGAGGGGTGTGGAAGTCTCCCACTATTACTGTGTGGTTGTCTAAGTCTTTTCATAGGCCAAGAAGATCTTGTTTGATGAACCTGGGTGTTCCATTGTTGTGTGCATATATTTAAAATAGTTAAGTCCTCTTGTTGGATTATGCCCTTTATCATTATGTAATGCCCTTATTTGTCCTTAATTTTTATTGGTTTAAAGTCTATTTTATCTGATACAAGAATAGCGACTCATGCTCTTTTTTGATTTCTGTTTGCATAGTAGATCTTTCTCCAGCCCTTTACTTTGAGCCTGTGGTGTCTTTACTTGTGAGATCGGTCTCTTGAAGACAGAAGACGGATGAGTCTTATTTCTCTGAGATGGGGTCTTGTTCTGTTGCCTAGGCTGCAGTGTGGTGGTACAAACATGTCTCACTGTAGCCCCCACCTTCTGGGCTCAAGCGATCCCCCCTCCTCAGCCCCCAAGTAGCGACTACAGGCATGCGCCACCAGACTTTGCTGATTTTTGTTTTTGTTTCTTGTTTTTTTGCAGAGACAGGGTTTCACCATGTTGTCCAGTCTGGTCTTGAACTCCTGGGTTCAAGCAGTCTGCCTATCTTGGCCTCCCAGAGTACTGGGATTACAGGCACAAGCCACCCTGCCTGGCCCCTTCCTGGATATTTTTAATGTTACGTCAGTTATTAAAGGTTATGTGTACCATTATCTGAAATGCTTGGAGACAGAGCATTTTGGATTTTTGATATTTTCAGATTTTGGAATAT